TCAGCATTGTGGATTTTAGACTTTCTAATGGATCTGTAGTGGTGTCCCATTGTGGCTTTAATGATATGATATTGAATATCTTTTCATATGTTTGTCAACTGTGTGTCTTCCTTGGTGAGGTGTCTATTCAGACGATTGGCTCATTTTTTAATTCAGCTGTTCACTTTCTTTTCATTGAGTTTTAAGAATTTTTTGTATCGGGGCGGCACTGTGGCTCAGCGGGTTAACGCCCTGGCCTGAAGCGCTGGCATCCCATATGGGCACCGGTTCTAGTCCCGGCTGCTCCTCTTCCGATCCAGCTCTCTGCTATGGCCTGGGAAAGCAGTAGAAGATGGCCCACGTCCTTGGGCCCCTGCATCTGCATGGGATACCTGGAAGAAGCTCCTGGCTTCAGATTGGCGCAGTTCCGGTTGTTGCAGCCAATTGGGGAGTGAACCAGTGGATGGAAGACCTCTCTCTCTCTGTCTCTCTCCGCCTCTCCTTCCTTTGTGTAACTCTGATTTTCAAATAAATAAATCTTTAAAAAAAAAAGAATTTTTTGTATCAAATTTATCTTTTATAAATATTTCCCCCTGGTCTGTGGTTCATAGTCTCATTCTCTTGATATTGTCTTTCACAGAGAAGATGGTTTTAATTTTGATGAGGTCTAGTCTATCAATTAAATTTTTTCATGTATCATACCTTTGGTGTTATATTTAAAAAGTCACCACCATACCCAAGGTCACCTAGATTTTCTCCAGTGTTATAGTTCTAACTTGCTGGGGTTTTGTGCATTCTATAGATCAAGTTGGGAAGAACTGACATCTGGACAACATTGAGTCATCCTATCCATGAACTTGGAGTATCTCTCCTCTTACTTAGTTCTCCATTAATATCTTTAATCAGAGTTTTGTAATTTTCCTCATATAGGTCTTCTACATAGTTTATTTGGTTTATACATAAGTATTCCTTGTTGGGAGGTGCTAAGGTAAATGGTATCATGTTTTTAACTTCAAATTCCATTTCTTGTTTGTTGGAAATAGAAAAGCTTATTTACTTTTGTATATTAGCCTTGTTCCCTGCGACAGTGATACAATTGCTGTTAACTTCAAAACTGTGTGTGTGTGGGTATGTGTTCTTTTGGATTTTCCACATAAACAGTCATGTTATCTGTGAACAAATAGAGTTTTATTTTTTCTTTCTCTACATGTAAACTTAACACTTTTCTTCTTTTATTGCATTAGCTAGAAATTCAAGCTTGGGGGCTGGTGCTGTGGTGTAGTGGGCTGAGCCTTCACCTGTGGCGCTGGCATCGCATATGGGTGCCAGTTCAAGTCCCAGCTGCTCCTCTTCCAATCCAGCTTTCTGCTATGGCCTAGGAAAGCAGTAGAGGATGGCCCAAGTTTATATCCCCGCATGGGAGACCTGGAAGAAGCTCCTGGTGCCTGGCTTCCGATCATCCCAGCTCCGGCTATTGAGGCCATTTGGGGAGTGAACCAGAGGATGGAAAAACTTTCTCTGTCTCTCCCTCTCTCTTTCTGTAACTCTACCTCTCAAATAGAAAAAAAATCAAGTTGGATGTTGAAAAGGAATGTTGACGCCAGCACACCCGGGTTCTAGTCCTGGTCGGGGCGCTGGATTCTGTCCCGGTTGCTCCTCTTCCAGGCCAGCTCTCTGCTGTGGCCCAGGAGTGCAGTGGAGGGGAGACCAGGAGAAGCACCTGGCTCCTGCCTTTGGATCAGCGCTGTGTGCTGGCTGCAGCGCGCCAGCCGCAGCGGCCATTGGAGGGTGAACCAACAGCAAAGGAACACCTTTCTCTCTGTCTCTCTCACTGTCCACTCTGCCTGTAAAAAAAAAAAAAAGAAAGAAAGAAAGAAAAAAAGAAAAGAAAAGGAATGTTGAGCAGAGATACCAATGTCTTGTTTCTAATCTTGACAGGGAATGTTCTTTCTTACTTCTCATATGGTGTTAACTACAGATTTATTATAGATGTTATTTATCAAGTTGAGTTAACTACAGATTTATTATAGATGTTATTTATCAAGTTGAGAAAGTTCTCTCTAAGTTTGATGAGAGGTTTTATTGTGGATAGGGTGTTGGATTTTCTCAAAAGCCTTTTCTGTACCCACTGATATTATCATATGAATGTTTTTCCTTAGACTGCTTATGTAATGGATTGCATGAACTGATTTTCAAATGTTGAACCATCTTTACATATTTGGAATAAATCTGAGCTGACTGTGGTGTACAATCCTTCTTATACATTTTTTGACTTGAGTTCTCAAATTTTGTTTAGGATTTTTGCATCCTGTTGATGAGATAAATGGTTTTGTATTTTTCTTTCCTTGTAATGTCCTTGTCTGGTTTTTGGTATTAGGATAGTGCTGGTCTCATAAAATGAGTTAGCATTTCACCTTTTGGAAGAGATTGTGTCATATACTGGTAAAAATTCTTCCTTAGATATTTGGTAGATTTCACCAGTAAACCCATAAGGGCCTGATGCTTACTAATTTTTTAAAGAATTATTTATTTGAGAGGCAGGAAGATAGAGAAAGAGAGAGATCATTCAGATTCACTGACCCACTCTTCAAATGTCCACAACAGCCAGAATTGACCCAGGGCTGAAGCTAGAAGCCTGAAATGCAACCCAGTCTCCCACTTGGGTGCCAGAAAGCCAATCACTAGAACCACCACTTCTGCCTCGCATGGTCTGAATTAACAGGAAGCTGGAGTTGGGAGCCAGAATTAGAACTCAGACCCAGGTACTCGGTTATGGGAGATGGGTGTCTTTACAACTAAGCTAAATACCCACTCCCAAAAGTTGTTAACTACTAATTGAAATTCTCCAATAGATACAGACCTACCTATTCAGATGATTTATTTCTTCTTGTCTGCATTTTGGCATGTAATTTTCAAGAAATTAGTTCATTTCATCTAGGTTATCCAACGTGTGGTCCTAGAGTTGTTCATGGTATTGCTTTATTACCTTTGTAATGCCCATGGTATCTATAGTGATATCCTTTATTTCATTTATGATATTAAAATTTTTTTCCTTTTCTCTTTTTTTCTTAATTCTTAGGGCTTTTTTTCTTCTTAGTTCTGGCTAGAAGTTTATTTTGCTTTACTTTCAAAGAACCAACTTATGTAATTTTGTTAATTTTCTCTACAATTTCTATTGTTTTTATTATTTCTTTTCTTCTGCTTACTTAGGATTTAATTAGATCTACTTTTTCTTGTCTCCTAAGATAGAAGATTAGATGATTGATTTTTTTATGTTTTTTTTTTTTAAAGATTAATTTATTTATTCAAAAGGCACAGTTACAGAGAGGCAGAGGTAGAAGCAGAGAAAGAAAGGTCTTTGTCTGCTGATTCATTCCCCAAATGCAATGGCCGGAGCTGTGCTGATCTGAAGTTAAGAGCCAGGAGCTTCTTCTGGGTCTCCCATGTGGGTACAGGAGCCCAAGGACTTGGGCCATCTGCCACTCCTTTCCCAGGCACATTAGCAGGGAGCTGGATGGGAAGTGGAGCAGCCCAGACTCGAACTGGCACCCATGTGGGATCCAGCACTGCAGGCGGTGGCTTTACCCACTGCGCCACAGCGTTGGCCTCCATTATGTTCTTCTTAAGGAAGTGGGATGGAAGCAAGACAGAATCTGGGGACTCCTCCTTCCATGGGCCATATGCTAACATAATAATGGTTATTTCTAAATCTGAAAGGCCTAAACACCAGGTCTTAGCCGGCCCGGTGTTTCTCAACAAGGGTGCTACGCTGATGCTCTGCCCAGGACAAGGTGCTGGGATGCCTTGAGAACTGCAGGATGCTTAGCCAAATGCCCGTAGAACCTGCTGGTCATGTGACAACCCAACACACCCTTCCCAGCATTCCAGAGGCCTCCCACCCCCCCACCAACTGAAAACCAATGGATTGTCTGTGGTTGCTGGCTTTGAACTTGCAGCTTGCCATTCCCCTGACACCTGTTTGGTAAGAGGTTCTAGGTTACTAATCAGGCTCATCCCTAGATCTTTAAATACAATGTGTTCTAAAAGGCTAATACGAAGTCAACAGGGAATCTTGCAGAAATCAGGGACACTGTTCTGTGAGTGTGCTGAGAAAAATAGTTAACAGAGCTCAACGGGCTGTGAGCTCACTGAGAATAAGAGGGTGTGCCCTGATGTTTCAGATTTGTGAGCGGGACATGGGGGAAAACAGCCGGTAAATTCTGACCTTGGCCTGGGGACTGGCACCACCCAAAGTCTCCAACAAATCCTTTCGTGCACTGCGTTATGGAGTTATCACTCCACCGCAAATCTATGCCAGGAGGCAAATAAAGCTTGAAGGCTTGCATTTTACACGTTATATTTTATTGTAATAAACGTGTTGAACTTTTCGTTGGGCACCTACGTGAGCTCCTTTCTTTGGACGCAAGATTTAATTTAATGCCCACAAAATGGTCCTGCAGTGGACAGTATCATCACTCCTGCTTTGCATGTAGGCAAACTACCCCTAAGAAAGTTTGTGTAGCTTTGCTCAGGATCACCATGCCCGTAAGTGACAGGGCCAGATCTCATATCCAGACTGTGGAATTCATTCTCTACTTTCTCAACACTACCTGTATCCGGAGTGATTTTATTCACAGATATTTACTGGGCACAAACAGGACACAGGCGTCCCCGCCCGAGTGGATAGGCTCTGGAGCGCATGGAGAGATGGATAAAACACACGGTGGGGAAGACTCATGGAATAACTGAACCAAGAAGTAAATCCCAGCATGACTGAATCAGACGGAGAGTGGATGGAATGGCGGAAGGGGAAATGAATGAGAGGGGGAATAAGGCAGTGAATGAACGAAGTGGATCTGAATCGGACTTACCGGAACTGAAGCCCCAGCGCCGCTCCGCACGCGGGCGGGTGGGCGTGCGGGCCGCTACTCCACACAGTACGGTAGGCGAGGGCCGCTCCTCCCGGAGCCCCGCTCGCGCCTCCACCCCTCCCTGCGCGCCTCCCTTCCCCGCCTCCTCCGCCGCCGCCGCCCGCCACCCGCCACGACCCCAGTCCCCCGCGGGCGGGCGGAGGAGGCGGCCGCTGCGCTCGTCCTGCCGCCGGACGCGCCGCGATGCGCAGAGGGGCCGCGCCGCCCGGGGGCCGCTGCCGCCGCCGCTGCTCCGCACCATGAGGCTCCGCAGCAAGGCGGCGGCGCTGCTCCTGCTTGCGCTGGCCGCGCTGCTGCTCGCCCTGCTGCCCCTGCGCGCCGGCCGCGCGGAGCCCCCCGCGCCGCCCGCGCGCCCCGTGTCCGCCCCGCAGCGCCGCCCCGCGCCGGGCCCCGCGCGCCTGCCAGAGCCGGGCGCTCTCCCGGGGGCCGGCCCGCCGGGCGCTCCGAGGCGCCGACCCCCGCGCCCGCGCCCCCGAGCTGGCCGCCGGGGCGCGGCGAACCTGGAGAAGTTGGTGAGGTGAGTCGTGGCAACCCCAGATTCCCTCCTGAGGACCCGGGTCTCGCGCCCTCCACCGGTGCCAAGCCCCGGGCAGGCTTTGCGCGGGGCGGTGCACCCCAAGGCTCCCCGCTTTGGGCCGCCAACGTCTATTTCTTCCCCCACTAGAAAGGAAGACCACCGTCGTGGAGTCCCCCCGCGTGCGAAGCACGGAAGACCCGCACGCTGTGGGAGAAATGTCAGGGTCGGGGGTTGTGCGTTACGGATGTTTTAAGAGTGTCAAGGCCGGGAGTCTTTCTTTTTGCACTATTGCCAACATGCGCCCTTTGTTTAAGTTCTCAAAAGCCATCCCGAAGCGAGAATGCTGTAGCCAAGTCTCCTGTTGCCCCGCAGAGGGTTTTTTTTTTTTTTTTTTTTTTTTTTTTTTTTTTTTTTTGCTAAGAAAACTTAGCTCTGATGGAGTTGGAAAAGTGCGATGCTGCCTCGAGGTGAACCTCGAGGCCCGCGTGCTGAACGAAGGTTGATGGCCACCTAGGAGGCTTCTCCGTGCGTGGAGTGATGTGGCACGGGCAGGGCGCTGCGCGGGTTTCCTGTGCCTTGTTCTGTGGCAGGCTCGGGTCTGGGCCCAGGGTCCTACAGGAGAACTTGTTGACCTTCAGCATTCTGTGTGGTGCCCTCTATGCCTATGCAGAGCTGAATGCCCCGGGGCTGTGCCTCGCTTGCTGGCTGGGGGCGTTGTACCTTCAGCCCCCGGGGGTTGCTGGAATGCCCGCGGGTTAGTGATTTGCGTCGGGGGTGGGCTTTGTGGTTGAGAGAGCCTTTTAACCCGCCCTTGTTCCCCTCTGCTCTTTCGGAGCCCTCGTTCTAACTGCCTTTGCCGGGGCTCCTTTAATTACTTGAAACGAGCTGAGGAATTCTTTTTTGACCATAATGACTAAGTGTGTTTGGCACTGGGGCTGTAACTAAGAGAAAAGACACGAAACCTCAAGAAGTCGCTGTGTCAGCTTTTGTTTCTCCACGGCCTCAGAGTGACTGTACAGATGGGCACTGACAGGTTTTAGGAGGAGACTGCGTGAGCTGGGGAGTCGCTTGTGACTGTGGACACAGCCCCTTCTGAGATGCGTACACTTTAAAGGAAAACTGGGCATGTATTGCAAGTGTCCTTCCTACCGACTGAGGTTTCTTACAGTAGGTCACGTGGTGTTAGGGCTTACCCCAGGTTTAACGTGATTGCTAAGTCTGATGAGACTACTTGCAGTCATGAATACAGACACCTTTTTTTTCTTTTGTAAGAAGATGTATTTATTTGAAAGGCAGAGCTACAGAGAGAGAGAGAGAGAGAGAGAGAAAGGGTAGAGAGAGAGAATCTTCCAGCCACTGGTTCACTCCCCAAATAGCTGCAACAGTCAGGACTGAGCCAGGAGCTTCTTCCAGGTCTCCCACGTGGATGCAGGGGTCCAAGCACTTGGGCCATCTTCCACTGATTTCCCAGGCGCAGTAGCGGGGACCTGGATGGGAAGTAGAGCAGCCAGGGCTCGAACTGGCACCCATATAGGATGCTGGCATTGTAGGCTGGGGCATTAACCCGCTGAGCCACAGTGCTGGCCCCCAATACCTCTTTCATACAGCTAATAAACACTTGCCAGGGACGCTGCTAACAGCAGTGCATAAACTGGTTGTGGCTAACACTCATGTTCCATACGTGACTGTTACCCACCTCCTCATGCTTAGAAAGTCTGGGCTTCCAACTGTACCAGCATCATCTGGGAACTTGTTAAGAGATGTAGATTCTCAGTTCTGACCCCTAGCTGTCACAGAATCAGAGTGGGGTCAGTAGCTTGTGCCTCATCCCACCCCCCTGTTGTGTCTCCTACATTCCATGGATTGAGAACCTGCTCTGTGATGTCAGCACCAGTGCCATCCCTGTTGTACCGAAGAGGGGGCTATTTTCCAAGGCTTAAGCCATTTGCCCAGGGTTCACAGATCGAGGTAGTCTGGGTGGCCTCTTACCTGCTAGGCTGATGTAATAGGTTAGTCGTGCCTGCCATTCATGGTGTAACTGAGACTTTTTTTCTTTTTTAAGAAACACCATAGATTTTTGGAACTGTGTCATTCTTCAAGGTGTTGGGGACATTGGGGCGGCGTCTTCTGGTCGCTATCTGAACAAATTGGCTCTGACTAGGAGGAGATCATGAACAGAATCCAAATGGATGTTTCAGGCGAACAGCTGTTTCCGTGAGCCACGGTCCTCCTGAAGCCATTTTTCTTGTGAACATATCTCTTAGATGATCGTAGACATCATGGCCAACACCGCAGGAATAAAGAACAACATTTAAGAAAGAGTGAAAAACAATAACAAAAAGCCGCAGGGCATCCTGAGCTCCAAGGCATAAACACTTGACGTTTTCCGGGACTTGTTCGTTGTTCCTTTTGCTACCTCGTCAGAAACGCAGGAGATTCTGAAGGAGAAGGGAGCATGAGGCTGGGGGGGGGGGGGGTGTCTCTGCGTGGACTCCCTTAGAGCTCTCCGCATCCTGCCTGGGCTACATTTTTGTGGTTTAGGAGGAATTTCATTTAAGGAGGGAAGAGAAAGCCTCATGTTTTCAGAAAACGAGCGCTTTAATCTCTTTCCGTGGCTGGCATCCAGAAGGGATGAAGGCCGCGTGATGTCATTGCCGGGGCCTGGCGAGGGCCAGGCTCGTGGGTGTAGTTAGCAGAAAGCTTGGAGCTGGCTGGATGGGACACTGCCCGCCACCTGCCAGCCGGGCAAAGACAGGACTGCCTTGCGTGCGCTGGGGTACTGCTGGGAGGTTCTGCCCCAGCACTCCTCGATCCACATCTTGTTTTCATTTCCATCAGGATTCCAAGGCCTTGCCTTGGACCCTGCAATTTTATAACTAGTCATTTGTATGCAATCTGGCCAGTGGTGGCTTCCTTCTCTGTATATATAAAGGCAGGAGGTAAGATCTGAGCTTTTCGGTCAAGGAAGGGACCTGCAGACAGACACAGCCCTGGAAGCAGCAGCCCCTGGGCACAGGAGAAATGCAGTCTTCTATTTTGGTTTATTGGTGACTTATACCTGGCTGTCTTCCAAAAAAAAAAAAAAAAAAAATTGAACTTGAGATCTTGTATAGTAAAAGACACATATACAATAAAGCCATTGATGTTGTTATATAAAAAAATGAAAAGTCTGAGAGAGGAAGGGGAAATAAATCCTGTTTGTCAAAAACCAAGGCCACTGTTATTAGGAGGATTACATGTTAATTTAGCCCTAAGCTTCCTGGCAACCATGTCAAAAAGGGAACCGTGACGAGCTGCCTCACGGTTACAGAACGATACGCGGGGAGTTTATCAAGAGCCGATTTTTGTTTTCACGGAACTGAATTCTGAAATGAGAATTTGACTTGGGAGTAGCATTTAGGCTTTAGAAGACTCTCCACCACGCTTCTGAAAACTCCTCTTGGAGGAGGTCGACGCAACTGCTAAGCAGCGCGGTTACAAAAGGTTTTGGCACAGGGAGCCCAACAAGCTGGCTTCTCATCCCAAGCCGTTTCACCGTATTTTCCTTCTCTGAAAAATGAGCCGATCAATCCAAAAGCGTTCTCAGACATGCGTCCAGCCCTGACCCTGGAGGGGTCTGTGGTGAGGCCATCAAGTGTAGCGGCAGAGACCCAACAGCGACTGTCGCACGGCCCTCTGTGCGCTCTCCTGCAAGTTCTCTGTTCCTTACCGAGTGGCTTCCATCCTGCGGCTCTGGCCTATTATTCAGCCCCAGCCCTCTCTGGACTTCCATGTTGGCTTGGATGCGGCTGTCTTCACATACTCGCATGGTTTCTAAGGGGTGCTTGGGCTGCCTGCAGGCCTTAGGGTGTTCCTCTATCGTTTTATCTAACAGTCAGCAAACGTGGATGGTGCATGTAGCCAGGCACTCAGTGTTCAGTTGTTTTTTTTTTTTTTTTTGAGAGAGAGAGATCTTCCATCCCATTGTTCACTCCCCAAGTGGCCACAACAGCTGGGACTGGTCCAGGCTGAAACTAGAAGCCAGGATCTGGGTCTCCCACGTGGATGCAGGGGCCCAAGCACTTGGGCCATCTTCTGCTGCTTTCCCAGGCACATTGGCAGGGAGCTGGGTTGGAAGTGGAGCATCTGGGACTCGAACTGGCACCCACATGGGATGCCAGCGACTTAGGTGCCAGCTTAACATGAACCTTAATTCTATTCACAATTGGTTTTTGTCGATTGGGTGGTGATTCCCCCTCTCTCCCTCCACGCCGTCCCAGTCAGTGAGCCTTTTTGGTTCTGTCTCAAAATGTAGGCTAGTCCCACCATTTCTACCGCTACCGCTGCCAAGTTCCTCATCAGCATTTGGTACTGGGACCACAGCAGTAGCCTCCTGGCTAAGCAGATGTGATTGCACTCTACCGCCCCCTACAGTCCATTTTCTACAAAGCTGCAGGGATCGCTAGACCAGACCAGGTCAGTTGGCTGGCGAAAGCCTTCCAAGGATAGACTGATTTCCCATAACTCACAGCATGGCATTTGCCAGTCGTGGCCTTTAACCTTCACTGGATCTCAAGCCCTTTCAGCTCTCCGACCTCATCTCCTACTGCTCCCCAGCCACTTACTCTGCTTCGGCCACAATGGGCTCATTACCATGGCAGCACTGCTCTGCTTGGTGCCCGTGCTGGAATGTTCTTAGTTCCCATTGTCCTGTGCCGGCTCCCTCACTCCTTCCAGCACGGTGCTCAGATGGGTCCTCCACAGGACAGTCTTCCTGGCTGCTCGAGGTAGACTGTCCTCCCTGCCCCCACTGCGGTGTGGCTTATGCTTGTCAGTATATGAACATTGAGGTTTATTTGACCTTCCCCCTTGTGTACCCTTCGTGTCTTATCAATCCCTGTATCATTGGCACCCACAGCATGCACGATCTCATAGTAGGTGCTTGATAAATTTGTGTTGGGAGAACTCAGAAACGACTGTAGCACGCACATGTGTCAGCACCACTTACATCATTAATTATA